GCGACGTCCCAGTGCACAGCAGCCACCACAGTCCTCATTCCCACCCATGGCCGGGAGGAAGGGAAGGGTCCTTTGGTCAGGAGCCACAAGGCCCAGGCGCTGCGCAAGTTGTTCAACCTCCCAACCAAGCTTGCTTGCCTGTCTGCCTCCCTCCCTCCTCCCTCCCTCCCTCCCTCCCTCCCTGCCTCCCTCCCTCCCTCCCTCCCTGCCTCCCTCCCTCCCTCCCTCCCTCCCTGCCTCCCTGCCTCCCTGCCTCCCTCCCTCCCTCCCTGCCTCCCTCCCTCCCTCCCTCCCTGCCTCCCTCCCTGCCTCCCTCCCTCCCTCCCTCCCTCCCTGCCTCCCTGCCTCCCTCCCTCCCTCCCTGCCTCCCTCCCTCCCTCCCTCCCTGCCTCCCTCCCTCCCTCCCTGCCTCCTTCCCTCCCTCCCTCCCTCCCTCCCTGCCTCCCTCCCTGCCTCCCTCCCTCCCTCCCTGCCTCCCTCCCTCCCTCCCTGCCTCCGTCCCTGCCTCCCTCCCTCCCTCCCTGCCTCCCTCCCTCCCTCCCTACCTCCCTCCCTCCCTGCCTCCCTCCCTCCCTCCCTCCCTGCCTCCCTCCCTCCCTCCCTCCCTGCCTCCCTCCCTCCCTGCCTCCCTCCCTCCCTCCTTCTTTCCTTCTTTCCTTCCTTCCTTCCTTCCTTCCCTCCTTTCTTCCCTCTCTCCCTCCCTCCCTTTTCTGTGCCATTACTGGGGCTTGAACTCAGGGCCTGAGCGCTACCCCTTAGCTTAAACTCAAGTTGGGTGCTCTACCTCTTGAACCACACAGCTCCACTTCCCGCTTTTTGGTGGGTAACTAGAGACAAAAGTCCTATGGACTTTTCTGCCTGGGTTGGCTTCAAACCAGGATCCTCAGAGCTCAGCCTCCTGAGTGGCTAGGATGACAGGCGTGAGCCACCGACGCCCGTCAAAGCCTTTTAATTTCTCTGGGCCCCTGTTCCTTGTCGGGCAGTGACATGAGGCTGGGGCGCTTAGGGGCACAGTACTACCTGGGAGCCTGGGGGAGGGGGGCGGGGACGGTGGGGGAGGGGGGGATGGTGGGGGAGGGGAGTGGGTACGGTGGGGGAGGGGGGCGGGGTCGGTGTGTGATGCCCTGCGCGGGCTGCCACCCGTATGGGGCTGGGTCGGCAGTGGCTGGCGTGCGGATCTGGGCCAGGCTGGTGGTCATTATGTTCTAGCACAGGGCTCGGGTGTGGATGGGCCCTTGAGGCCCCATTGTTCCCAGCTGGGGGGGGGCTTTCACGACCGCAGTGGGGAAGCAGGGAGGGGTCCCTGGCTCCCCAAGGCAAAGTGCAGCCACCGCTGGGAGCAGATGGCCCTGGAGGTCGTCGGAGAGGCCAGACAGCAGGGAAAGCCCAGGACCGCAGTGGGTAACAGCCAGACCCCACGCGGGACCTCTTCCTGCAGGGCGTGGGCATCCACGCAGAGGGGGGGCCTGGAGACCCCCTGAGCGGGGGCGGGCCTGCGGCTGGGGGCGGGGCAGCAGCCCAACATGGCCTGCTTGTTTACACACAAGCTTCTCCACAGAAAAGAACACTCCTTGGTGGTTCCTCAGAAACTGACTCATCACCTGGCGCCGAGCGGCGACTTGGGAAATTTATCTCAGTTTCTTATTTAAGATCCGTCGCCAGGGTGTCCTGGCTTTGGGTTCTGTTTTAGAACTTGAGGGAGGGAGGAGGGTGAGCCCATCACAGAGGAGGAGACTGAGGCCTTGGGAGGAGGAGGGGCCTGGGAGGCTGGCGGGGTGAGGGTGCTGGCCCCCCTTCCTTCCCTCCCTCCCTCCCAAGACTGTGGTCCCACCACCGCCGTGATCCGTCGTGCACGTCAGCCTGGTCTGGCCACGAGCATAGGAAATGTCGTGAGGCGATCTCTGCCCATGCACAGTTAGTTGACGAGGGTGGCCGGCCACCTCCACAGCATGGCAGCCATCCTCCGTCACTGGACAGGACTTACAAACAGAACAGAGGGCCTCCTGGGAGGAGGCCGCTCGGCCCAGGCCACGGCATCGGCCCCCAGGGAGTCCAGGGCTGCCAGCCTGCCCCTGGCTTCACACCTGCCAGCCTGATCCCTGAAGCAGGCCCGCGGGACAGACAGGCCTGCCTCCCCGTCCGGAGGCCTTGGCGGACACACACGCCGCCAGAGGTGGCATCCGCTGGGCAGCACACGGAGCCCTGAGGCGAGGGGATGCGTGGCGGGCGTGGGGAGCACACTTGCACGCTGGCTGTCAGCTCACGTGCTGACTGGGAGGGCCACGCGGCGCAGCTGAGGCTCGCGGTGGACAAGGCCAGGGTGGACACACAGCGGTGTTTTTGTGCACAGAGACACACGGCTGTCCTATGCTTAAAATGAAACATCACCACGCAGGTCCCCATCTCCCTGGCCTTCTCCCAGAATCAGACGGCGCAATCCACCCCGGCACCGCCGAATGGCGAGACGTGAATGGGAGCCCCGACCGGAGAACCGGTCTCCTGTCTCCCCATGGATCAGGGCAGATGCAGCAGAGGCAGCAGTGCCCAGATTTCCCACATGCAGCGGAGCACTCCGGTTTACAAAGAACCCGCCCAGCCCCGGCAACTCGCGCCTACTTCATCTCTGAGATCAAAAGGGCCCTGGGGAGGGAGCTCACTGGGCACCACCAGACGCCTTCGCTTCTATAGACTAAGAGCTCCAAACTGCGGAACACGCCAAGGCGCCACTACCAGCTGTTCTGGACATGGAGCCCAACTTGTAACAGTCCACCCACCAGTCAGCCACGAGCCAGACAGGGCCACCAATCAGACACGGCCACCAATCAGACAGGGCCACCAATCGGACACGGCCACCAATCAGACAGGGACAGCCATCGACCAGGGCCACCAATCAGACAGGGCCACCAATCGGACACGGCCACCAATCAGACAGGGATAGCCATCGACCAGGGCCACCAATTGGACAGGGCCACCAATTGGACAGGGCCACCAATCGGACACGGCCCGCCATTGGCCCGGGCCCCTATCTCAGCCCCTGAGGCGATGGAATTCAGCTGTCTCCCACAGCAGAAAACACCTGCCCAGCTGGCCCGGCATTCTTTGTCCTTGAACTGTCTGTGGAGCTCATCCGATGGACCCCCAGCTCCATTTCTTTTTGTTATACTGAGGAGGCAGAGTTTCTAGGGGCGGAGACAAAGCTGACCTGGCAAGAATATGCCGGCTGAGTGGAGACACGTGAAAAAATCTTTTGTGCCATCTTTTGGTTCTATACATAGTCAGGATCTGCACATTTCCAATGTAAATAAAAAAAGCTACAAAAGCAGCAACTATATAAAAAATAAAACAGAGATAACTCGGGCTTCATTTAAAATTAAAAAAGCAAACCACTTTTACCCATTAAAAGACACTACTGGAAAATGATAAGACAAATCACAAACTGGGGGGGGGGTGATATTTGCCACAGACATCTGATGCAGGGTCAACAAGCAGAGGCAAATGAGAAGAACCCTACCAACCCAGAGCAGAGATAAGTGCACTGTATCTCAGTTATTAAGCGCGCCAAAATCTGCACCGATGCTTCTGGAAAGAAGTCATGCGTCCGATAGCAAAGCCCACGGAAGACACCTGGTTGCCGCTGTCACCAGGACGCCATGACTCTCTCCTGATCAGACTCTTCTTGTGATGGGTGCCAACCAACCCACAAAAGACCAAGTCAGCCTGACACCACCAAGCGTGGCTGGGGCCGGGGCTCGTGGGAGGGCCTGTAGCCTGTGCTCACCTCCTCCTCTCCTTCTCACAGCAGTTCCCATGTCCTTAGTGTGTCACCCGTGAGGGGTGCCCCACCCCCACCCCGAGGATGTCCGGCTCCCCTCCTGTGTCGTCACCCACATGGCGCACCATCCCCGCCAGAGCACCAGGGCTGCAGGTGGAGTTGAGACTTTACTCCCCGTGAGAATGGGGAGACAGAGGCAGAAGAGGAAGGCTGGGGGGCTGGACGAGATGAAGGCAGGGCTGCCGTCAGTGTCAGGGGCCAGGAGGGTGGCTGCAGTCTGGGGGCTGAGACCCGGAGGGGGTGGCCCCGGAGCCTCCACCCTGGCTGGAACCCCGGCCCGCCAAGACCCAGACTCTGGACCCCAGGGGGCTGAGTTCTACTGAAGCAGCGGTGCTTTGCCCCAGCTCCCAGGACCTGAAGGCCCAGGAAGCTGGCTCTTCCTCCCGCCCCCCCCTCCCCCAGCAAACCAGCAATGCCGGCAGCCGGCCCAGGGTAGCACAGACACAGGTACCTCTGTCCCCGACCCTGGGAACCCGAGCTCAGGGCCGGATCGGCATGGGGGCCCCCACGACGTGTGGACACCTGAAGGATCCCAGAGCCCACACCGCCAGGCACAGCGTTCCCACCCCCCCCCCCCCCCGGGAAACCGCCCAGAGCGGAGCAGAGCTGAACACACCGTGCTCAGCAGCCACAGCGTCATGCCAGAGGCCAGCAAGGGGGGCGGTCACCAGGAAACCCACTGAAGTCCACACAGCTCACAGGTGGGAGACATCACTCCCCCCGGCCCCCTTTCCATACAGCGTCAGGAATGGCTCTGACTGGCAGCCGCACGCCTGGGCCTCCCCCAGAAGCGCAGCCTGCGGCGCTGAGCTCTCAGGGAAAGTTAGGCGTAAGCATCATTCCTGCCCGGGCAGCTGTGTGTGGCCCTCGGGGCGGGAATGGGGTTCTTGCTCACCTGTGGGGAGCTACCTGTGTCCTGACTCCACCCAGGAGAAGAAATGGACATTTTGTCAACCCGTGAAGTGGTCCTGGATGGCCACCACACCGGCGCCCAGCGCCCGACTCACACACACACAGCTCCCCACGACTGGCCGTGATCGTCTGGCTTGGACGAAGCCGGAGGAAGAGAGGGAGCCGGACCTGCAGCCCGGCCTCCCCGCCACCGCCAGCTGGGCCCGGCCGCGCTCCAGGCCGCCCGTGAGCCCCGGCGCACATGAAGCCAGCTTACCAGCCTGGCTGTCCCTCGGCTTGCACTGGACCTCCTCCACGCAGTCCGCCGGGAACCATCCGATGTGCCCGCGGGCGCTGCCTTCCCAGAATCCGCCCTCGCCGATGCTCAGAACTGGAGGAGGCAGCAGAGGAGGACAGGCGTTAGAGAGAGGGCAGGGCAGGGGACACCCGGACCAGGGCTGAGGACCTGCAAACCCGGAGGCCCAGGACCACGTGCCCACGGACAAGGGTCCTGGGGAGGACCCTGGACGGCACAGCGCTCCGCTGCCCCCAGGCCACCTCTGACCAACACAAGAAGACAGACAGACGGGCCTGCAGGCCCTCGATCGCGTCCTTCCCATGTCACTTGTCCAAAGGGGCATCTTTGTCTGTCTGTCCTTGTCCTCTGTGAGTCTCTCCAGCAGTGATTTCAGCCACAAAAGCCTGGGGCCGGGTGGGGAGGCTGGGCTGTGCGGGGCTGTCTGCTCTCAAGACGTTGTTCCCCCTCCGCGTGGAGAGAAGATGGAAAGATGCCCCAGCCCTGGGCCCATCGGTCATGTGGTGCTGGTAGCTTGGGTTTTTGTTTGCTTGTTTAATTTGCTAGTACTGGGGCTTGAACTCAGGGCCTTGTGCTGTTCAGCTAGTGCTCTACCACTTGAGCCACACCTCTAGTCTGGCTTTTTGCTGGTCAATTGGAGATAGAGGAGTCTTGTGGACTTTCTGCCCTGGCTGGCTTTGAACTGTGATCCTCCACATTGCAGCCTCTCAGTTAGCTGGGATTACAGTGCCCGGGTGAGCACTGATGTCTGGACTCTGATTTTGGAAAGAAGAAACAAATTCTTTTACAGAGATGGGACAATGACCCCTCGGTGTCCTCCACTGTGTGCAGATGGACAGACAGCTGTCCCTCACGTCAGGACAGGAGCCGCTCAGCATGGGCTTGGATGTCCCTCATTAAACCCAGTGCCGGTGCATAGAGGAGCGAGAGGTACTGGGTGCGGGTGCTGGTTTTTAAATTCAACCACGAGCTGAGCTCTGCTGACTTGTGCGTCATCCTAGCTACTCGGGAGGCTAAGCGCTGAGGATCACAGTGCAAAGTCAAGTCCCTGAGACTCTTATCTCTAAGGAAACACCAAAAGCTGAGAGTGGAGGTGTGGCCCAAGTGGTAGAGTGCTAGCCTTGGGCACAAATATTCAGTGTCCAGGTCCTGAGTTCAAGCCCCAGCACTGGCACAATTAATAACGAAATTCACCCTCACTGCTTCGCCAGCCCAACCGGTGGTCATTCGGCTGCTTCCCTCCCCGCACAGAGCCCTGGCCTGGGAGCCCCCGGGGCCACAGCACTGGGCTGGGACGGAGGCCCATGGGGTGCGCCGCGGCTGCCAGACCCTGAACCCTTCCCTCCCACGTCCGTTCTTCCCGATTGTGAGCAGGTCACCTTGTTTTAAAGACCAGCCTTGGGGCTTCGGGGGCGGATGGGCTCTGCGGTGTCTTGGCCTCACCCACATGCCTGCCCGTCCCTCTTCCTCTTTGGTGTCCACCTTCCTGTGGTCCCTGGGGCCCCCGTTAACCAGCGCCCCGGGTTCTCAGGTTGGCCAGCCTGGAGGCTGCACAGACAGCTGCTGTCAACCAGGCCTGGGCCACCGCCGGGGCCAAGGGGCGGGGCGGGCTCGGGGTCCAGAGCTGGACCAAGCAGGGAGACCTGGGGGCCGCTTTGGGGTCACACAAGGGAGAGGGCCGTGTGGCAAGGAGGGAGAGGGGCTGCGGCCCTGTGAGAGGCGGGGTGCCCGCGGGCCTCTTCCTTCCCTGCCCCCACCCCAGGCACGCTGAACAGCGGGTGCTGGCAAACCTAGCCCTGTCCCCCACTACGGCCATTCCAGAGGGCGGGTGGGGACTGAGAGGCCCCGAGCAGGGTGGTGGGCAGCGCTGACCTTTGACCCTGTCGCCGCGGTGGAGGGGGATCTCTCCGTCGCCTTGGGGTTGGTATGGCTTGACGACGACAAACAGCCTCCCGGGCACCGCGCTGTAGAGCTTCCGCTTGGGCCCCGGGTACTCGAAGGCCGAGGCCGAGGCATCCTTGCTAGCTGGGAAGGGGGGCCTGGATCAGAGAAGGGGGGCAGGGAGGGGCGGGGAGGAGGGAGAGGGAGGGGGAGGGAGGGAGGAGGGAGAGAAGGAGAGGGAGACATTTAGTCAGGAGCTTCACTCCAGCACCATAGCTGACCTGTTCCACCAACACCAGGCTGCTGGCCATCAGGAAGGTCCCGTGAGGGCGGACGGTGGCAGGGGATGGACAGGCCTTGGGCAGCACCTGTCAGGCCACACCCATGTCCAGCCGCGGGCAGTGGTGCCACAAGATGTGGTCCACGTGTCAGCCTGCATCTCTTGCAGTCCTGGGGATTGAACTCAGGACCTTGTGCTTGCAAAACTGGTGCCCTACCCCTTGAGTCATGCCTGCAGCCCCTTTTCGTGCTGGCCTTTTCCAGGCAGGGTCTCACTTGATATCCTGGCCAGCCTGGGCTGGTGCCTCTCTGTACCACTGGGGTGACAGGCGTGTGCCACTGCACCAGACACTGAATGAGGTGGGGTCTTAGGCACATCCTGGCCTCGAACCATTATCCCCTGGCTTCTACTTCCCAAGCAAGCTAGGATTACAGCCCTGAGCCATGGTGCCTGATACCTGGAATCCGTCACTAAGAGGAGAAAATTCTGACCCTGTGCTGACAGGGTGCAGCCCAGCTGGGCACAACAGGACACAGAGTTTGAGGTCCCACTCATGAGGTCTCTGGCGCAGTGGGTCACGTGGGTCATGGGGGCCAGGGAGACAGTCTGGGAAGGTTCTGGAGCCGGACAGTGGGGACGGCTGTCCAGCCGAGCGCGTAGGTGCTCAGAGGTCAGGGTGGACACGTGGAGCACCGCTCACCACAAGTGGATGGAGCCGCGGGTGGAGCCGCAGCACCTGAGGCCGCGCGTGGGTGGCCTGTCTACTGTCCACGGTGGCGCCGGTCGCTCTGGATGCCAGAGGCTGCCATCACCCCAGGAGGCACTGTGTCTTTCTTGTTTGATGTCATGCATTTCACAAAGACCCACCTCCCATTCCCCCCCACACCCAGTGTCCAGCAGTGTCCGGGAGGTGTGGGGCGGCCTCACAGCTCAGGAAGGAGCAGCTGCCCAGGTCCCAACCAGGAAGACCCCAGAGGAGGCCTGGTCATCTCTCTCGCCCATCCCAAGACAGAGGTCTTTCAAAATGATATGTCCACAGGGGAATGTGGCCGGGGGCAGGACAACGTGGGGGGCTGCTGATCCTAAATGGCCAGAAAGCAGCTGGGTGGCTCACGCCTGTCATCCTAGCTACTCGGGAGGCTGAGAGCTGAGGACCGCGGTCCAAAGCCAGCCCAGGCAGGAAAGTCCGTGAGACTCTTACCTCCAATTAATGACCAAAAGCAGGAAGTGGAGCTGTGGCTCAAGTGGTAGAGTGCTTGCCTTGGGTACAAGGGACAGTGCACAGGCCCTGAGTTCCAGCCCCAAGATTGGTACACATGTGTGCGCTCTCTCTCTCTCTCTATATATATATGAACACACACACACACACACACACACACACACACACACACGCGCACACACACACACACACGCACACACACACACACGCGCACACACACACACACACACACACACACACACACACACACGCACACACGGCACCCAGCATTCTCCGTGCTGGCTGTTTATAAGAGGACACCAGCCAAGGGGAAGAGTTGCAGTTGAACGACATGGAAGAACACTCTAGAACTGAAGGCACACCTGAATTCGACCCCAGATCCAGGGTGTGTATGTATGTGCTCCTCACAATGACTATCATGTCTTTGAGCTTCCTGCAAGGGACCAAGGTGAAACAGGCACCCATGGAAAATTCTAGAAGCTGAGGGCTGCATTCTCATGATTTGATGTGACTCTCCTCACACCTGTATGTGGGCCCCCGAGAAACGCCCTGGGGTAGGTACTAGCTTCTGAAAAGTTATCAAAGTGCCGGCGTGCCAAACCGAGTCTCAGGTACCCCGGCTAGGATGAGGCCTGGGCACGGGACCCGGCTGGCGTCTCTGCGGAGCCGGGGCGCAGAGCTAGAATTGGGCTGTGGTGTGCTAAATTTAGAGTGTCATTTAGGCTGCTGACTAGGCCGGCCTGGGACAGCCCCGCCCCAAGGCCCAGATGCGTCCCTCACCTGCGCAGAGCAGAGCGCAGGAAAGCAGGCCGGGTCACCTGGCCGCGCTGGCACGGGCGGAAGCCCTGGAGGCCTCCCAGGCTCGAGGACATCTGGGGGACAGTGGGGGATGGGACGGGGACAGCAGGGACAGAGTCTCCCAGGGCGGCCATGCCTGCCCCCGCCACGCTCAGTCACCGAGTCCTGGAGCCACAGGTCCCGGTGAGAGCTGTCACCAGCAGGCAGTGTGGCAGGACACCCCCCCCCACTCCCCCACCCACGCCCCAGACCCCGGGACCCCCAAGCAGGAACCCCTGCAGAAGCCGGGGGGAGGGGGCAGTGGGGATGACACCCCCGCATGGGGTTTAGGAGAACGAGGGAGGGAGGCCAGACACGGGCCCGGCTCCCAGGGGAGCCTCGGCGGTGGTCATGGGCTCTGCCCCAGCGGCCAGCACAGGGCTCTGCGGACCTCTCCCTGTCGCCCTCCTGGCCAGGGGCAGAGATGGCACGTGGGGTCATCTAGACCCCCAAATCCCAGCAGCGGGGCACAGGCGGGCCTCGACACCCCAAAACGCCACTGAGGAAGGGGAACTGGAAGACTGTTCCTCACCCTCCTCCACTGCCCACCCAGATCTCATCCGCCGCTCACACACCTGCTCTACCACCCACGCACCAAGTGTCTGTTCACACTCCCATCCTCACGTCTGTCATCCTTCCGCTCCTCCACCCATTCACTTGCATACCTCTGTATCCAACCATCCAGCCAACCATTCCCTACTATCTACCAACCAGCCATCACATCCATCCATCCACCCATCCATGCACCCATCCACCCACCCATCCATCATCCATTCACCATCCATCCACCCATCCATCCATCATCCATCCTTCCATACACCCATCCACCCATCCATCATCCATCCATCATCCATCCTTCCATACACCCATCCCCCCATCCATCATCTATCCATTCTTCCATCTACCCATCCATCCATCATCCATCCTTCCATTCACCAATCCATCTATCATCCATCCATCATCCATCTATCCATTCTTTCATCTACCTATCCATCTGCCCATTCATCCATCATCCATCCTTCCATGCACCCATCCATGCACCCATCCATGCACCCATCATCCATCCTTCCATGTACCCAACCATCCACCCATCTATCATCCATTCTTCCATTCTTCCATCTACCCATCCATCCACCCACCCATCCATCCACCCACCCATCCATCCATCCACCCACCCATCCTTCCATTCACCAATCCATCCATCATCCATCCATTCTTCCATCTACCCATCCATCCATCATCCATCCATTCTTCCATCTACCCATCCATCCACCCACCCATCCACCCATCCATCCATCATCCATCCTTCCATCCACCATCCAGCCAGCCAGCCATCATCCATCCTTCCATGTACCCATCCATGTACCCATCCATCATCCATCCATCCTTCCATCTACCCATCCATCCACCCATCCATCCATCCACCCACCATCCACTCACCTAAACATCATCCAGCTACCCATCCATCCACGCATGGATGAAGCAGACAGACGTGATACCATCTATCAACTACCCATCCACTTATCCATTCATGAATCCATCCATCCATCACCCATCTATCACCTATCCATTAGCTCACCATCCAGTCGCCTATATATCCATCCGACCATCTATCCTCACATTTATCCATTTGTCCATCCATCATCTATCCATCATCCATCCATCCGTCCATCTGTCCGCCCATCGTCCGTCCGTCTGTCCATCCATCCATCCATCCTGCACCCAGCCTTCTTTCATTCATCCTTCCATCCGTTCCTCCACCCCCTGGATGAGCACCACCTCTTGGAATATCTACCCTCATTTCAGGAGGGGTGGCCAGGAGTGTCCATGGGAGGAAGTCTCTTGGAATCTACTCTGCACAGATGCTGTGCCCTGCTGCAACCGGACAGTGAGTGACCAGTGCCTGGGTCGCCGGGCCAGCGCTGGAGCATGCGGCCTGGGCTTGGAGCTCGGCTGCTGCCATCTGAGAGCCCAGGAGCCCTCAGACACGTGCGGGGGCTCCAGAGCAGCGCTAGGCTTCAGCAGCCCTGCCCACGAGGCATCTTACTCACTCTTAATTTGAACCTCTCGGAGGCTACAGGTGGCAGAGGGGGCGGGGTGCCGGAAACACTGCTCTTACCCTCGTGGCACAGGCGGCCCTCCTCCTGCCCCCTGTCCCCGCTCCGTCCTGCTAGAACCAGGGAATGTGCTAGTGCCAGAGGAACACGTCTTCCCTGGCTTAGCTCTCAGCACCTCCTGTGTGAACTAGGCCCTCTCCCAGTGGCGGCCCCGGACAGTAGAGTCACATCCCCGCCCCCCGCAGGAGGCCAGGCTGCCCCGCCCCCAGCCCCCTACCCGGCCTGTACGAGGAGCCTGGGTCTGAAGCTCCCAGCTCACACTGTCCGGGTTTTCCTCATTCTCTGCCGAGAACAACCAGATGGAATCCCAATCAACTTGTGTTAGTCAGAGGGCCGGTGGCTGGATCTCAGCGCCAGCACGCCACCGGCACGCTGGCTTCCACTCCATGGCGACTTGCTGAGTGAGCTGGGCCACTTCCCGCCACCCCGGGTGAGCGAGGATCTGCCCACAGGAGCCTCTCCCATTCATCCTCCTTGGTGACTCGCAGACTTACTCATTTAGGCCGCCTGCTCCTCAGGGAGCCCCTTCGCCAGGCCTGGACATAGCCTGGGGAGTCTCCCCTGTGCCCCCCGCCAGTGTCTCTGCCACACACTGTGACAGGCCGGCTCTAGGCCTCACCCCTGCTCTGCCAGCAGGCCCAGCCCCTCCCCGTTTCTGGGTCAGGACAAGGCACCGGGGAGGGAGCAGAGCCACCTTCTTTGTCGGGAACTAGGTCCTCGAGTCCCTGAGGAAGCAGAGGGAGGGCACGGGAGGGGAGGGAGAGGGGGAGGGGGATCCCAAGCCGCTTTGCTGCCCACACCTGAAGGGTGTGCGGGGTGACGGGCTCCGGTGGCCGCTGGCACCGGCCTGTGCTGGCCCTGGCCTGCCCAGCTGGTTCTCACGGTGAGGTCTCACCTCTGCCGGCTCACCTCCCACGCCGGAGCCAGGGGTGTGGCACAGGGAGGCCAGGGCGGATGGAGGACTGGATGGAGCCATGTCTGGGGGCCCGTCCCAGCTGCAGCACTAGGGGGCGCTGCCTCCAGCAAGGGGGGCACCCAGCCTGGCCCCTGCCCACATTTGGGCCCCACACCTGCAGGAGGAGGGAGGCTGCTGCCAGGCACTGTGTGGCCCTCCCCTCCTCTGGACCAGCGTCGGGAGGACAGGAGGGAGAAATGGGGAAGGGGATGGACGACCACCAGGGGCAAATGGGGGAGAGCACAGGTAGAGACAAGGTAGCTGTGGGTGTCTTCCCCATCTTGCTCCCCTCTCCCCTCCCTGCCACAGGCTCGGGGCTGGTGGGGCTAGCGAGCGCCTGAGAGGGGTCCGGAGGGTTCTCCATGTTCCCGGTGAGCCCTGTCCTTCCAGCAGCAGAGACGGACGGCCTGCAGGCCCAGGCCCAGGCCCAGGCCCAGCCCCAACCCCAGCCCCAGGCCCAGCCCCAGCCCCAGCCTGCCAGGGGCCTCTGAACTCTGTGTCCTGCTTCCCGCTGAGGCTGGCTCATTTCTCCAGCAGATGTTCCTGCCGAGGCTAGAGTCCTGGCCAGGAGAGTGAGGGGCAGCAGGAGCGGGGAGGGGGGCCGGTGGGCAGGCTAGGGGTGGCTGTCCCATCCAGGCTGGCTCTCACCACCCTGTGGCGAGCAGTGACGAGCCTTCCAGAACACACACCAGGAGCAGAGTGCGGGGGTGGGGGGGCCGCTGGCCACGGGCAGGCCCCCGCTGTGGGTAGGGCGCACTCTCCCTCCAGCCAGGTGCCGCATGCCTCCTGCCCCTTGCCACGGGCCGGCGTCTGCCCCTGGACGAGGGTGCCCCCTGCCCCATGTGGCTGTGGGAAGCTTTCCTAAACCTTCCGGAGACCCACAGACACGAATGATGGCCGACGCACGGCCTCTGGAAGGAAGGCAGAGCACAGCGGAAGGACGCACAGGGCGGCCCTCAAGCCCGGCCGGCCGCGGTGCCCTCCCGATTCTGCACAGACAGAGAGGGGGCTGGATGCCAAGTCTCATGTCCTGGAAGAAAGGTGCATGGCCAATCACCCCATCCCACAGCCTGGGGCACGAAGAAGGCAGGCCCGGCCGCTCTGAGCCGAGGCTGGACATGTATCTGAGTTCTCGGGGTGACACAGAACAGGCCCTTAGGACAGCCAGGCCCGTGCTGAGCGCCTGCCCTACAGTCCTCCATTCAACCCTGAGAATGACCTCAAGTCCATCTGTAGAATTCATTTCAGAATCCACAAAGAAGAGGCACAGGAGGGTGTGCCAAGGTGCATAACAGCTCAGTGGGACAGGCAGGAGGAATTCCAGGAAGCCTGGGCAGCAGCACGTGCCCACACACACACATGCTCACACGCACGCACACACACACGCACACACACACACACACACACACACACACACACACACACACACACACACACACACACACACACACACACACACACACACACACACACACACACACACACTGTCCCTGCCCTGCCCTGGCCCTGCAGCCTCTGGGCTCACTGGATTTCACCCGTGAGAACCATCGCCACATTTCCAGCCAGGGTTGTCTGGGAGCCTCTAATCCAGCTTCCCACTGTTTCTGGCTCCCGGGCCTTCCCGACTCTAAGCTGCCCAAAGCTGGGTCTACACCAGGCCTCACTGGGGCAGGGAAGTACGCATGAGCTCAGGTGATTCCCTCAAGCCTGCCTGATGGAGAGCTGTGGGGCGGTGGGTCAGGCCTCCTGTCCGAAGCCCCTGATCACGGCCGGTGTCAGCACGACCCCCTACAGACAGGCCGGGGCTCAGGGGGAAAGATGAGCTCACGGCGGGGTGGGGCCCAGGGCACCGGCACCAAAGGAGACTTCCCATATCACCGGGCCCACAGCACAGCTCGGGCCTACAGGGATGCCACACTGCCAGACCACAGACCCAGGGTCCCGGGTCCAAGCACGGCCAGGTGACAGCCTAAGGCATTTGTAGCCAGGGCACCTGCCCCCACCCCCCCAGCCCCCTGTCCCTGGCCGAATGGTCCCCCAGCAAGGAGCCAGCTCCGTGAATCCCATCCTTGCCCAAGAAAGTCGGAAGGCAGAGTGACAGGAGGCTGGTGCTGAGGTGTTGGAGCGCTGAGCTCGAATCCAGGGCCCCGCTGCCGTGAGCAGTGGGGACACAGGACCCAGACCTGAGCTGGAGGTCCCAGGGGGACCCTAGCCAGCTCTCCGAGGCCCAGCGACCGTGATGCGTCTGTCCTCACCCGGGCCGGGTTTCCTGCCCTTCTGGCTGGGACTAGCAATCACAGCGCTGGAAAGGTGCCGGCCCCCGGCCCCCCGGCCCCCCGGGCCCACCCCTCCTGCCTTTCCACTTGGAGATGCCAAGAGACCAACACACAAGCACAGGGCTTGAGGCCACCACCCGCGACACCAGCCACCTAGCGAGCCCAGCATGGCCTGACCCCAGCCTGCAGTGTCTCAACGGTCATCTCGGACTCGGGCCCAGGAGGGCTCTGCAGGGGTGGGGCACAGCTTAGGCCCCCATTTCCTTGGGCAGTCCATGCTAGAGAGCCGACGTCCCGTGTGTGGAGCCCTCCTGACCCCGTGGCCCTGCCCACCTCGCCGCGCCTGACCCCTGTGGCCCCTGCCGCCCCGCCGCGCCTTACCCCACGTGCCAGTGCGACTGGGGTCTCTTGCCATCCTCGCCGACGCCGGCCAGCCTGTTGAGGGTCGGGGAGCGGCTCCGGGGTCCTGGGAGGTAGCCCCCCAGGCTCTTGGCGGCGCCATCCGGCTTGCTTGGGGCCTGCTGCAGCAGCTGGGGGGAGAGGCTGCGGTGGGAGGGGGCCCCGGGGCACACGGTCCACTCGGGGCCGCCAGCGTGCAGGTTATTGTCACTGTTGGAGCGCAGCAGGACCCGGGGGGCGGCCAGAGTGTTGGGGGGCCTCTGCCTGCGGTTGGAGTAGGCTGGGGCCTCTCGGAAGGGCACTGGATGGGAGAGAACGGGAGAGAGTGAGGAGTGTGTGCGCACATCCAGAAGCAGAGTTACCCGCCACGCACCCAGCCCCTACCCCTGTGCCTGGGCTGCAGGAGCCACAGCCCCACACAGGCCCTGGCCCAGGCACCACACAAAGCACAGAGACGGTGGAGGTCAGGGCCATCTCCACGCACACGAGCTCAAGCCACAGCCTTGGATGGAAGGGACTCAGGCCCCCGCTTCCATCAGGTCTCGCCCCCCCCCCTTGATGCTCTGGGAGGACACCCCTGGCCTGACCGGTGTGAGGACTGGCACCAGCCCTTGCCCAGCCTCGCCTCCTGAGCCCTCGCTCACGCGCAGCCTCCACAACAGGCAGCCTGGGAGCCCATGAGTCCTGGGGGAAGGCCCAACCCTGGCCCTTGGTGCGCGGCTGTGCGTGGGGAGAGGCCCGGATAGAGCTGGTCAGGTCAGAGCGGGTCAGGAGGGTGGGCCTGGGGCGCGCCTGGAAGGAGGGAGAGGAGGACACAGGGAGAGAGGCCATGGAGAGGCTGGGAGGAGCGCACCCCGCCGCACCTGCAGGACAGGGGACAGCACCTGCTGCTGGACACGCCCAGGCGTGGGGTCAGCATTGCAGCGCCAAGCCGGCCAGGCCGACCTGCAGCCTGCGGCAGTGTGTGTCCAGCCCTCCCGGAGCCGCCTCCTCCTGCCTGCCCAGCGCTGCAGCCCCAGCAAACGCCACTAGACCCGGACAGTGCCTGTGGGCACCGGAGGCGGCTGTCCCCGGATTCCCACCCTGGAGGTCTAAGGCCCACTCTGCCCCCCGCCAGGGCTTTGCCCATTCTCCCAGAGGACGGGTCCCAGGGGAGCTTTCTGGGCAGAAAGGAAAGCATGTCATGGGTCGTTCAGGAGACAGACCCCAGGTCCGAGGCCGCGGTGAGGTGAATCACACAAACCTACGTGTGCACAGCGCCACAGAACCACACCAGGGCCAGTGCTCTGACCAGGGCAGCATGCTCTCCAGGATGAAGGCGAGCGGGAGAGAGCCGGCTGGCAGAGCTTGGAGCCCTGGCAGAGGCTGGGGGACGGGTGGGGTCCTGGGAGAGCTGCGGGGACACAGACATGACCCTGGCACTTCTCTCCCAGGCTGGCAGTGACCCAGGGAAGGTGGGAGCTGAGGTGGGCGAGCCGGCCGGTGGTAGTGGGAGGTTTCCTGGGGCCAGGCCTGGGACCTGGCATTCTGGCTCAGGACCAGGACGGTCCACCGGGGAGATGCGCACTTTTCCAAGTGGGTGGCAGGGCCCCTCACCCACCCTGATTCACCAGCGGCAGGAAGAACCTGGCTCCATCCCACTAATTCCTCCAGCAAACCAATCTAAAACAGGGCCCCCGTCAGAGGACACCCAGGGACCCGGCTGGCCACCCAGCAGAAGACACCCAGACTAACCATGGCGGGTGGCATTCTCCCAGAGCCAGAGGCTGTGCCTGGCAGAGTTGAGCCCGGAGCACAGGACGAAGCACAGGACCTAGCTGAGCATAGGGTCTGTTCTGGGTCTGCAGACCTGAGCAGGCAGGACTGAGGACCCACAAAGGGAGCTGCAGGTGCTGTGGAGGCCCTGAAGAGCGCCTTCACCCCAGGGCTGGAGCACGGGGACCTCAGAACCACCAAACTGGGGGATTCCAAGACTGGCCAGAGCCAGAACCGGAGCCAATGCTGGCTGAGATCAGAGGCTCCCGTGGGCGTGAAGGCAAGAGCCCAGTGGGACGTGGTCCCGGAGGCCTGGGCTCCCAGGAGGACCATGGGGTGAGGCCGGGGCTGGCTCTCGGGCTCCTCAGATGAGGGCACCGCCAGACCCGGTGGCCGGTGGCTCTGGTGCCGTGCCCCTTGGCCCCTCCCACAGAACAGGCTGTTCTGTGTTCTGATCACACAGTGGGGAGGTACTGACACCCTCAGAGGGAAAATGACAGGGGTCAGGCAGGCCGGCTAAGGCCAAAACAGGCACATCAGGAGACAAGTCCGTGGAAGAACGCCCCGACAGCAGACTCCCCAAGCTGGGGCCAAGGGGGGGAGGGCACGGGGCAGCGGAACTGTGCACTCTGCTCAGAGCGATGGAAACTGAGCCCCCCATCCCCCACGGTGGCTTTTAGAGAATCCCACCGGAACATGGATGCAGGCGAAGGCTGCTCCGCGCAGGTCCGCACGGCGTAGACCCGGGCCGGGTGCGGGGCACCCTGCACCTGCAGGGGGGCTCAGCGGGACTCTCACCACGCGCACTTCTCCCCCCAGACCCCGTGACTCCAGCGCTCCTCACGGTGACGTCAGGCAGAACAGATGAATGGAGATGGAAACTGCCCCCCCCCCCGACCCCCAGGATCCCTGGGCCGGGGTGAATCTCCTTGCTGGTTGTGCTGAGATGAACTTGGTCTGGGAGAGGGAAGAGGTGTAGAGGTGCCTTTCTACTTTTTTTTTTTTTTCAAGTGGCCTTGTTAGAAATCTTCAGATTTCACATCAAAGAGAGCTCCCCGTCTGAGAAGACCGTCTGCCCATGGAAATGACAGTGTGTGTGTGTGTGCGTGCGTGCGTGCGCGAGAAAAGGGTTAAAAATAACTCTTTTCCTGTCTGAACGTGATTAATATTCCACCCAACTCTTTCCTTCTTTCAGGCAGTCTGCAAACTCTAGGTGGGTGGATATTTTCTTAGCTGTCTTACATGCATATATATAAATATATATATATACACACACACACACGTGCACACACAGAGATACACATACATACACATATACCCCACCCCACAGTAAAAACCACACCAGGTATGACAAAGAGCTGAGGTACTTCTAAAGTCTGCCAAGCCATTTCTCTGCCCACTCCATGTGATTGCAAGCCGGGCTGGCCGTGCGGAGCTGGGAAATCGCCCTGGGAGCGGCTGTGCCCGGGGCCCCATGGCAGGTGCTCGGGCGGGCCCTCCAGGTGGCGGGCGGGCTGGAGTCAAAACTTCCTTCCTTTCTTAGGACTCAGATCCTAAGCCACCCTCCGGCACAGAATCCAAGGTGGACGCTGAGGAATGCATTTCTGCCAGAGGCTAAAGATCCCAAGAAAATGAAAAGCCACCTCCAGCCCGTTAATCCTTTGGATCAATTAAAGCCAAACCCTATGGTAATGGAAGTCATTATCCCTTGCAAGGGACAGACTGACAGCCGGCAATTCCAGGCAGACCAGATTCTCCATCCCCCCAGAAACGGGGAGCAGCAGCTCCGGCTCCTCAGCCGAGCCCCCCCACCGCACGTCTTACCTTCCTTCTTGGTGAAGGCATTTAACAAAGACTTCATTTTCTCTCTGACTTTGGCGGTGGCCGGCTCATTATATAACCCTCCGGGCAGGGAGAAAGGCTAGGCGGGCAGCCCGGCCCCTCGGAGCAGGCACAGCTGGGACTCCGGCGGCGGCGGGCATCTGGGCACGGTGAAGCCCCGAGCATCGCCGGGCACGCCGGTCCCGGCGCGCTGGTGACGAAGCCCACCCCATGTTCTGTCAGCCGAAGCCACTGTGTGTAGACGCTGCTCTTAGCGCCGGCTGCCTCTGGCGGCGCTTGTCATGTGAGCGGAGCCACTCTGCTCCGTGAGCAGGGCACCGGGGAAGTGGTACCACCTAGGGTTAACCCCGCGGGGTGCCGCGCACACACGAGAGGCATTTGCGCGCTGGAGCTCTGGTTATCCAAGGAAACCCGGCTGGTGCCGGGCGCGCGTGGCTAAATATAATGCACTGTGCTTTTCTGCCTTTTTTTTTTTTTTAATTTTTAAAGAAAAAGCCAATTATGTTTGTCTGCCAGCAGATTTAGTAAGCAAGTCAAAAGGGAGATCGCTAAGGAGCAGCCTGTCTCCGCGTGCTGGAATTCTGCACGTGACCTATATTTCCTTTTGAGACCATCAGACACGAGAGAGAGCCTTCGCTCCTCTGGCCGCGGTGCGTGTCCCACGGATGACCCCCAGAAAACAGCGCTCCGCCCCCCCCCCCCCCCGCCGCAGCTTTCATGATCTTTTTAAAGAGAAAGAAGAAAACAAACTGCAAAGCTGCCCACGATAGCTCCCCTCCAGCCCAGGCAGCTGGCACACATCTTGGGAGACACCCGGTATAGCATGGTCTCCGGCATGTGCAGCCCAGCGGAAGGCCGGGGGAGGCCAGGGCAGGTGCCCTGACTGCCACGTGGAGACAGCTCAAGTGGGGAGAAGTGGGGCGAGGAGCAATGTCGGTGCAGGGGGCACGGGGAGCACCCTGGAAGGGGAGGAGAAAAGGGCATGCGGCCTGGCGCAGCCGCCAGGGCTCTGTAATTAAGTGTACATTTTTTTTTTTTTGCAGTTGCTAAGAGAACAGCTTCCGAAATCCAAAAGGAAACAAAAAAAAAAAAAAAAAAAAGGAGAAAGAGAGAGAGGAGATGGGGAAAAGCAACTGGAACTCAGAACTGAACTCCATATGGTCCACACATTTTGTGTCAACAGCAATGGCGTTGGGAGGGGAGGCTGTGTCCCCGGCGGCGCCGGCGGCTGCCCTGCTGGCTCACTCCGCATGGCGGACGTGGTGCCAGGCCGTCTCTCGGTTCTGGAAGGGGGTGCCCGACTCCCGGCACGAGCCTGCGCCATCTCCACGGAGCGCCCCTCCCCCCTCCCGTGACTCCGTCCTCTGCGCTGTCACCGGGTCCAGCCAAGCGGAGCATCCACGCTGCCGGGCGTGACACCGTCCATCCACAGACGCCACACACACAGTCCAAGCGGTGGCTTGGGCCTCGTGGCAGGCTGGGGCACCACGCACTGAGTGTGTGGCCCTCGGGGGAGGGGGCAGCCTGGGGTCTTCAACAGTGGTCAGTTCAGGGCTTTGCTGGGAGACCGGCTGCCCCCTGGCCAGCCAGCGTGGGAGCGTCTGGCCACGTGGTCAGTGTGGGGAAGAAGGCCTCACCAGCGGGCGTGGGACCAGCCAGCCCCGAACCCGGCCCGTCACGGGCTCAGGAGCTGTCCAGAAACGC